CTTGGAAAAAAATATGATCAGAATATCAACGTGCCTAATAATTATGCACACACTGTAAGATGTGCTCCCTTTACACAGAGTGCGCGTGATCGCGAAATCAAAAGTGAACAGCGAGCGCTCATTCAAATGCGATTTCAATACACCGCATATTGATAGCGGCTCCCTGATGTGCGAAAATAATATACAATATTAGAATGTTTGCGTGAGCGGGACACACATGTTGCGGGAGCCGGCGGTAATGGTCAGAAATACAGCGGGAGCGGGCTAAAGAAAACCGTCCCGCTCAGGGCTCTAGGCTGCACATCAACACACGCTAAGATTTTTCTCGAGCTACCCCATCTCCACCCCCAATCATTAGTGCCGTTTCGCGCTGTCTTTGACAGAACATATAGGACCATTTTTGAAATAGCGCCATAAACAGGGGTTAAAGCAAATAAATATATATTTTGACTGAATTTTCCTCAGCCAAACCCCATTCCACAGCCACACCTGTCACACACACAGTTTAAAAGCACATTTTTTTCTCTTGTAATTAGGAGCGCTTGTCCTCCTAATTTAAAAACATTTAGGAGCACCTTCTGATCAATAATAAAAAATTCTGATCAAAAATTAGCCTTTTGACAATGACTTACAGGGGTATTTTCTTTTTACCTTTGTAATGGCATCATTTTCATCTATATCAAATTCAAAAATGTATGTTTATAAGCTTTTTAAAATTTCTATTTAAAACAATATAATAAGTAGAATAAGACAAATAGGTTACCAATAATAAAATTAGTATTAATAAAAAATGTATTTGTACTACAGAGGTGGCACAGAAGAACACAAAAGTGGCTTGTAGGTACATTTTCAGACGTTTAATGAGGCTCAGAGGTGGCATGAGTGCAATTAAATTCATACATTTATGTGGAGATTAATGTTTTAAATATAAAATTTTGAATACAGAAATATTAATTTAAATAACTGAAATTATACGCTAAAAATGAAACTAAATCCGCCAGCAGGCGGCGACAAGATCCCGACTTTCGCCTCTTTTTCAGTGATCTTTTGCAGCACCAGATTTACAGTGTTCCTGTGGCTCAGTGGTACAGCATTGCGTTAGCAGCGCAAAAGGTCGTGGGTTCAATTCCCAGGGAACACACATACTGGTAAAAAATGTATAGCCTGAATGCACTGTAAGTCGCTTAAGCGTCTGCTAAATGCATAAATGATTATTATTATTATTACTACATTACTCTTACTCAACTATGCCAAGGTAAAAACAGTCTTCCATTCTATCGCACCTTTAAACTGTAAGATTAAAAAAAAGATTGCACAACCACCCATTAGGTGGCGATATGCACCAAGAAAGTAACTCCCTATAAAACAAAAAATAAAGATAAACCATTGTACCGTGCTTCTGCTCAGTGTGTACTTGTATAGTGTATTCAGTGCTCTTGAGAAAGTCTTGTGTTCACCTGAACTCACATTCACAGCTCTGGAAGCAGCTTACCTCGACTAAACTAATCATCTAGAGTTCAGTGCGAGACAGTAAGCTCGCCCTGTTATCTGGAACACACACAGATCAGTGAACACCCGTGTGGGACAGTCGAAACTGAACTCTGCTCGACTGAGCTGTTTCCATGAAGTCTGACTGATGATGGTGAAGGTATAGGTGTACCTCCTGGATGTGGAGCTGCAGGTCTGTGACGGTGCTCTCCAGCGCCTTCCTCTCAGACACAGCTGTGTTCAGAGACGCTTCTTTAGAGTTCAGCAGAGCTTCAGCTTCTGTCAGCCGGGCCTGAGCACTGGCCAGCTCCGCATTCTTCTTCATACATCTGTGACACACACACACACACACAGAGACACACACACACACACACACACACAGACACACGATCAGAGATCTACTGTGTGCAGTACACCTTACTGGCTGTGCCAAATCAGTCACAATCAATACTTCAGCATTCTCAACTACCCTAGTCCTTCATTTGTTTGTGTTCATCCACATCATTTTCTAGAAGCAACAACAAAACACATGAAGACACAGCCGATTCATTTCACTGAATCATGACCTAACTCTTAGTGTGCATCGTATCACCAGACTCACACACATCCCATCGTGCGCTTTAGTCTTGAGAACGTAGCCTAACACAAGCTTTAACGTAACCGTAAGAAGTGATTCAAATAATTAACAAATGAAAACCCTAGTAATCAGTTCACTCATATGTGACCCTGCAGCACAAAAGCAGTGTTAAGTCGCTGGGGTATATTTGTAGCAATAGCCAACAATACATTGTATGGATCAAAATTATAGATTTTTCTTTTATGCCAAAAATCATTAGGATATTAAGTAAGATCATGTTCCATGAAGATATTTTGTCAATTTCCTACTGTAAATATATCAAAACTTAATTTTTGATTAGTAATATGCATTGCTAAGAACTTCATTTGAACAACTTTAAAGATGATTTTCTCAATATTTAGATTTTTTTGCACCCTCAGATTCCAGATTTTCAAATAGTTGTGTCTCAGCCAAATATTGTCCTATCCTAACAAACCATACATCAATGGAAAGCTTGTTTATTCAGCTTTCAGATTATTTATAAATCTCAATTTAAAAAAAAATTTACCCTTATGACTGGTTTTGAGGTCCACAGTCATATAAGATAAGTGCAGATCAAACCTTGTTTCCAAGAGGAATTGTTTGGAAAGAGGTCACTGTGAACAGGTTTCTGTTAGGATAGTTTCTTTATATTTAGGATTTTAGAAGTGGGATTATTATTTTTCATATTATGAACGGATGCTATGCTATAAACACCGAGCAGCAGCAGTGGGTTTATGAAGGCAAGTAAAGGACTGAATACTCCCTGAAAAAAGACTGATTGTGATCACGGAGCTTTCTCTGGAGGAATGTGAGGAATGTCTCGCACACAGCCGAGAGTCTCGACAGTCTGCTCGGACTCAGCTAACACTATAAACACGTGTTAGACGCATCTGATCGTCTATCCTAACAAACCATACATCAATGGAAAGCTTATTTATTCAGCTTTCAGATTATTTATAAATCTCAATTTAAAACAAAATTTACCCTTATGACTGGTTTTGTGCTCCACATTCATATAAGATAAGCGCAGATCAAACCTTGTTTCCAAGAGGAATTGTTTGGAAAGAGGTCACTGTGAACAGGTTTCTGTTAGGATAGTTTCTTTATATTTAGGATTTTAGAAGTGGGATTATTATTTTTCATATTATGAACGGATGCTATGCTATAAACACCGAGCAGCAGCAGTGGGTTTATGAAGGCAAGTAAAGGACTGAATACTCCCTGAAAAAAGACTGATTGTGATCACGGAGCTTTCTCTGGAGGAATGTGAGGAATGTCTCGCACACAGCCGAGAGTCTCGACAGTCTGCTCGGACTCAGCTAACACTATAAACACGTGTTAGACGCATCTGATCGTCTGAAACAAAGAGCTGCTTCAGGAGACTCTACAGCAGCTGCTCCACAACAACGAGACGCTTCAGTCTGAAGCACTGAAACACACACACACACACACACCGGTGAACCACTGCTCCTGTCCATCACACACACACTCACGCCGGCCTGAACGCGAGCTGAAGTGTGAGGATGACAGAATTCATCTGGATTATACAGACAGTACTGCACTAGAGTGAGCTAGAAGTACTCCATAAGATGAGCATGTGACTGGCTCCACAAACAACCTTCACTGAAGTGTGTGAGAGACCAATTCAACACCTCCACACTACAGCGAGAGCGCAGACAGGTCTCGAACCATTAACAATTAAAAACCCAAGAGTCATCCTGCATGCCATGCAGAAATCTTTCATCAGAAAACACACACACAACAAATACTGCATGCATAATCCACCAGTTGTAAAAGTAGAGAAAAGCACACATTTAAAAGCCCATGATCCCTCTCTCGGCCGGTCCAGAACTTCAGTAACATCTACTGACCTCCATCACACTGATGCTCAGGAGTCAGGACCACAACAATTACTGACAACACAACTAATTAGGGCATTGACTGTGTTGTAATTGGTTAAATCTGAGACACATCTCGACCAGGGCTGCATTTCTCAAAAGCATCGTAAGCCCATTGCCACCAATGGAGCTATGATCAATTTAGGCTTATGATGCTTTTGGGAAACGCAGCCCTGGTCCGGAGTCAGTGGACACAACCTGCCTGCTAAGAATCTTAACTTGTTTTTAGTTAAAGGGGTCATGACAAGAGAAATCAAATTTGCCTTGTTCTTTTGCCATATAAGAGGTCTTTGTAGCTTTAAATCATCCTGCAAGTTTCACAGTTTAAAACCTCCTCCTCATTATAAACAAAGCATTTATTTAATCAAGCTCAGAAACGGCTTGTTTGGATCTGAGGGGCAAGATGACGTCACGGGGGAACAAACATTTGCATAAGCACGCCTCCAGAGCAGGATATCGACGAATAGTCTTCTTCTCTCAGCATAGGCCCCTCCCACTGGCGTTCATCCACTAACGGCTGACACTTGATCACGCTGAATGAGAGTCGTGTCGCGTCAAAAGCAAATAGAAATCACAATCACTGTGACTACAATCAGTGTCATGTAGAGTCACAAAGAAACATTTGTTGAAAGATGAAGCACTGCTAGATCTGACTGCAGCTGCATCACAAACCATAAGTACATGATTTCATAATGCTTTGTCTGGAAATTACCGTTTTATTTTGATCATGTTGTCAGAACACTAATAAGGGGGCGTTGATAGTGTTCCCTATGTAGTGACATTAGCCAATCATAACAGCGGCTGATTACTGACGAGCCTTAAAACAGCTCGTTTTAGACAGAGGGTCAGCATGAGGGTTGAAAATAATAATTTTTCACGTTTTTTTTTTTTGTGTATGTGCAAATAACTTTTATTATAAGTAAACCTTAAGGAACATATTAAAATAACCCTTCGTGACCCCTCGAACTACTTCAGTTTTGCACTACTTTTAGTATAATTTATGTGAAAGTTCGTAAGCAAACGCTTTAGGGAGGAGTAAAACCCGCAGAGACAGCAGTGAGTGATGAAGAGGCTCACGTGTGCTGCAGCTGCTCGTGCTCGCGCTTCATCTGGCCCAGCTCGAGCTGCAGGCGTGCGCGCTCCCGCGCCATCTCGTCCAGCGCCGTGCGCGCGTCCGCCAGCTCGGTCTCGTAGAGCGCTTTGAGGCCGGTGAGCTCGCGGCTGCGCGTCTCCTCGCGCTCGAGGACCTGCAGCTGCAGCGCGCCGTTCTCGGACTCCAGGCGGCGCACCGCGTCGATGTAGGCGGCCAGCCGGTCGTTGAGCTGCTGCAGCTCCTGCTTCTCCTGCAGGCGGGAGATCCGCGCGGGGCTCAGAGGAGAAGCGCCGCCGCGGGGCAGCGACTGCTGGCCGGCCGGGGTCCGCGCGGGACTCGCCATCTGCCGCGAGAGAACAGTTAATCTCACACATCTGACCGGCTCAATCAGCGCATCGATTAGGAACAGGAGAAACTTACCTTCCCACTGATATAGTATAGAAACGACGCGCCGAGCGAACAGAGCTTCTTACATCAATACCGCAGAAAAATGTAGAGTAGAGTGTGTGCTACTCTGAGAGTAAGGAGTGTGTGTGTGTGTGAGTGCTACAGAATGAACTGAACTAATATGGTCGCTCATCAGAACCACGCTCACAGCCAATCAGCCGCCGCCACGTCATCAGACGGACAACGGTGCGGTTGAGACACATTTCAAACTGCACTAAAGGCGCTGAAAGCACGTGCTGTAAACACACAATAAACGCGTCACGCGGTTTGACTTCTTATAGAAATCAGTGCGAACTCTCTCAGACTGACAGTATTAAACACTTTAATGACACTTCGCTGTTTGTTTCAGTTTCACTGTAAGATCATCAAGGCTTGTTATGACAGAGATCAGTGCACAGAAAGCAGTTCTGTAGAATGCTGTAGTTATTTCTGCTCATCGGTCCTTCACTATTGCTGGCCAGCGAAGCGTTTCGAGACGCCACTGTTGGTTTGTAAAGCGTGGAATCAGTGGAATAATAGATCATTCAGATGTATGTGCTACACATCAAAATATTAGGGACTTAAATGCCATTATTGCTCCTGTGAGTCCAGAGGCTGGGCGAATGCCATGCTGCTGATTTAGGTTTCATCTCATGACTTTTTCAGTCTAGGATTTGTAGATTCAAATTTATATTTGTTTTTCAGGTGCCAATCTTTGAATCTGAACAGTTTTTACCCAAACATAACTGTTAGCATGCATTTGCTGTGTTACAGACGGTCAGATGTATCCTGAAGTTTTAAAGTGACACACTGGGAAGTGCTAAATATAAGAAATGTACCAGCTGAAAATATTTCATCAGGTGGACACAGAGTAAAACACAAATGTAAAAGCCCTTTCATTCTCAAGCTGAAGGAAATGTAAATTAACACGCAAACAAACCTTTCAGCTGTGCTGCCATTCTAGATTGTACGAAGGACAGGACACAGCAGATCATCACTCTTCAGCAATAATAAAATAAAGGACATTAGTGTAATTTAACATTTAATTATTGCAGGTTTGCATCATGTTCTGAGTTTGCACTCCACCGTTTCTGTTCGAGTAATCCATGTTCACATTCAATCTAGAGCTACAGTAATCATGTTCACATTCCACACACAACAGTCAATGTCATGTTCAAATAAATTCTAGAGCTACAGTAATCACATGTTCACATTCAATCTAGAGCTACAGTAATCATGTTCACATTCAATCTAGAGCTACAGTAATCATGTTCACATTCAATCTAGAGCTACAGTAATCATGTTCACATTCAATCTAGAGCTACAGTAATCATGTTCACATTCAATCTAGAGCTACAGTAATCATGTTCACATTCAATCTAGAGCTACAGTAATCATGTTCACATTCAATCTAGAGCTACAGTAATCATGTTCACATTCAATCTAGAGCTACAGTAATCATGTTCACATGGCGCACACAACAGTCAATGAATGGGAAAACAAAGTAACTTGCGTTACTTACTTGAGAAAGTAAATATTTTCTAGTAAATTAAAAAGTAATGCATTACTTTACCAGTTACTTGGAAAAAGTGATCTGATTACGTAACTCGCATGATTTGTAATGGGTTACCCCCAACATTGTTTATGGATGTGTTTGTATTTCTTGCAGATTTTCCACACGTCACAGATGAAGCACTTCTAGCAGAATACATCTGTAGTATATTCAGCCTACTTTTACTCAAGTACTTGATTTGTGTACTTCGGCCACCACTGCAGAGAAGCTACCATTAATCGCAAAACTTAAGATTGCTTTTTAATTTGAGCATGTACTGAAACTTATCAGTTCAAGAATGTTCATCTATTCAGCTCAATTACGCCACACAGTGAAAGCACAAAGTAAAAATAGCAAACCACAGATATATTTGAGAGCAGTATGACAAATGACACGCACCAAAAGCTGAGCTTGCATTTTACACATCAAGCATGTACTGCTTTATTGTACAATGCACCTTTAACAAACGTTTAGAGCATTTCCAATTACTAAAACACAAGCTGTATTCTTCTGAAATAAGTGAATGTATATTTTCTTGCTGCAATTAATTTCCCATGAATGCAGTAATGTATCAAAAGCTTGCAAAATATCTAAACAGAAAGATCACAATTTATCAACAACATTTTAACCAGGCAAGAATTCCTGTAGAAGATCTGTACAAGCTTTGCCTGCTGCTTACAGTCTTTCAACAACCAGCAGAGAACTTAAAGTGCTACCCGTCAGGACAAACCCACTGTTGTCTTTCATCTTTAGTTTAGTCAATCCAAGCTGTTTTAGGCTACAACTAGAAGGGACCGTGCAGCACGAAACAGCACACATGCTCACGCATTAGAAAACCTCAAGGTCGGTTGAGTTGTAGACGACAGGGTTGTCCTCTGTGCCCAGCGCAGACTCCGGCGGGCCCTCGGGGGCCTCCTCCAGGGACCCCAGAGCCTCTTCAGTGTCACTGGCAAACGTTTCTCGGGAGATGTCGTCATGCTCCTGGAGGTTGAGCGTGCTGATGGCCTGCTTCATCTTCTTTGCTACTATTCGCTTCCGTCGCTTCTTAGCTGACTTTTTGTTGTTGTATTCTTTCTGGTTCTCCTCATGAAAGATCTCCTGCACGAAGACAACATGCAAAGAAACACTTCTGAAATCTGTATGTAATGAGGAGCTGGTAAACATGCAAATAAACGCCAGTGTCAGCTTCAGACAGCAGGCCTTTCGAGACCGTGTCAGACCGGGAGTTTGGGCAGAGCCGCTAAACCACAGTGAGGCGATAAGCTCCACCCAACAAACGCTTAACCCCACCCACCACTGATCTCATCAAGCCGATAAGCTCCGCCCAACAAATGTTTAACCCCACCCACCACTGATCTCATCAAGCCGATAAGCTCCGCCCAACAAATGTTTAACCCCACCCACCACTGATCTCATCAAGCCGATAAGCTCCGCCCAACACATGCTTAACCCCACCCACCACTGATCTCATTAGGCCGATAAGCTCCGCCCAACAAATGTTTAACCCCACCCACCACTGATCTCATTAAGCCGATGAGCTCCGACGTAATTTTCATTGCGAGTCAGCTGGTGGCTCTGCAGTTGGATGCAGATTATTTAAGTGTTCTTGCAGACATGTTGAGAACGGAACAGAAAGACCCCTCACCTTCACCTGTCCATCAGAGATGCTGGGTGTGTTCTTCAGTAAGTTCAGATACACTCCCCCCGGTGTCCGTCTCCTGCTACCATCCTGCAGGAAAGCCAAACAAACAAATATGCTAGCACATTTGATTCATTTTTTTGTAAAACAACACTGATAACAGCAAAACTTTTTTTAATGATGTACAATGATTGTTTTGATATGCAAGGCCTCATGCACAGTCAGCCATCCTTTTGCAAAATCATTTGTTGCGTTTGGTTATGCAACAGTAAATCAAGCCAGCCGAACATCACATTATTATTCAAATTGGTATAAAATAATTTACAGAAAGCCAGCAAAAGTTCTCTCCTTCATAATCACTGAAGCTCAGCGAGAGTTGAAGTCATCTACACTGCACAGTGACGCTCTTCTACACGTAGTGTTTACACTTCATGATCAGAGCAGAGTTAGACTGATATCTCAGTTATACTGATGATACATGAGTGCTGCTAGATGCATACATGATCCAGTCAAAATAACAATCAATGGTCTGTTTGTTAGTTCAGACAAGATGTTATCCTGTGCTCAGAGTGGCTTGATAATAAAGATGAACCACGAGTGTTATTATGCAGCCTGCACATTCTATCAGAATCAACGTAAATAGTTCCTACGGATGCAATGATCATGATCTTTTACAGCCGATTCCATTGGGCTGATTTTGGTTGCCAATTATTGTTTTTTGTTTTTTTTAAGAGACAAGGAGGAATGACAATGAATTACAGGTAATATTATACATAATATATTCAGTTTCTCACACAGTGTGATCATTTTACTTCATAAGACCTCACAAGATATTGTCAGGAGCCCCAAGTATCAATTTAGTATTAATGTATTAAGTTGCCGTAGTAGCAACAGCTAACTTTAATCACTGTGATATTTTCATCTAGTGCAAACTGTCCCTCCATTTATGTGTCTACAAATATATTTAGCAGAATAATGATCAAAGGTTATGATTAAATAGTAAGCATATGTTAAAAGCGGCAGAATATGGCTCTCTCTATGCACACATTATTTATTATTTTTGACAAACGGAGCCAGCAGTGAAAAGCCAATCCTCAGTTCCAAACTCATTCATATGTACTGAAATCTGGATGGACTTTGTGAGGTAGTTTTGTACAGGGTTTCTGCAGGAGTTTTAAGCTCAAATTTAAGACCTGCACAAATAAAATTAATACCATATGAGCGGGGTAGGGCAATGTCTATAGTACCATATTAAACCGTAAAAAGCATAATTTACAGTTCAGATACAAGTTTTCACAAAAACAAAAAGTTTTATAAAATGATAAACTTTACATTTCAGCCTTTAAACCATTGTTAAGAAAATGGATGAG